ACCTGCTTCCCAGAGGTTATAAACTGAAATCTGGTTGTCTCCCATTTGAGACTTTACTTATTTCTGGCCCACACATCACTGCTTGTTTTTCTTTCATCAATGGATGCTGGAGAATGTTTCTAATCCAGTTACGTTTGGAAATGTCTCTGAGAAAAAATAAACACTGAGCTGCCCAGTGGGCTAATAGTGGGCTAATAGTTCAGATGTCTGGGTCGTACCTCAAGAACCTCTTCAACTAGGGAACCTTCTGGGGAGATGCAAATATGCTATATTTAACCTGATTGATGGCTACATGGTCATATACAAAATGTAAAAGTTCATCAGTCTGTACACTTAAGATTTGTACACTTTGCTATGTGGAAGTTGTATCTTATTTTGGTTATCTATTACTATATAAAGCCAACTTGAAGCTTAGTGGTGTAAACAACAAAAGTAATTTGTTTTGCTCAAGAATCTGCAATTTGAGCAGGGCTTAACATAGACAACTCCTTCGCTCCACGCTGTGTCAGCTGGGGCAGCTCGACTGAGACTCCAGGATTCACTTTCAAAGTGGCTCACACACATGGTTGGCAAGTTGGTGCTGGCTCTGGTTCTTCTCCGTGTGGGCCTCTCCACAGGATCACTTGGGCTTCCTCACAGCATGGTGGCTGTGTGCCAAGAACGAGCACTCAAAAGAAAGAGGAAGGGGAAGCTGCCATTTACTTGAGGGCGGAGCATGGAAATTAGCCGTGTCCATTCGACCATATTCTATTGGTCAAGCAGTCACAGAGCCCCAATTCAAGAGGGAGAGGACATCGACCCCTCCCTCTTTTCTCTGGATGGGAGGTATGTCAAAGCATCTTGGGGCTATGTTTCAAAACTACCACATCTCCATTTTAAAAGAAAACAGAATGTGTGACTTCATTTTATGCTTCCTGTCCCACCCTACTTTTACCTGTTTCCACCTCTCTTTCCTCCCAACCATTAATGGGAATTTGATATCCCAGTAAATTTGTGTGGGTGTGTATTGAAAAGACCATTTACATTTCGGTTTTAAATTACTATTGATTCGTTAAAGTTCCAGATTTTAAAATCTAGACTTTCACAAGTATTTAACTTCCATTTATTAACCTTCTTATTTTTATATAAAATTAGAGCAATCATTTTTAGAGAGGGCTTTGATTACGGCTCAATCAAGACAAGCTGAACAGACTAAATGGTCTTAAACTCTCCCACCCATTTATAAATTTAGCTAAATTTTCCTAAACATTTTAGACTGAGGTATGTATATTGAATTTGACTTATTTTCTTTTTGAGCATTCAGATGCCTGAATGGACAAACTTACGACCCTAAGAAGAAAATCTTCCCAAGGACTTAAACATTTGTAAATCAAATAAATCAAATTTGTGAATATCCCATTGCCTTAAACATTGCAACTCTGCTTTCCGAATCAAATTTTAATTCTTTTTACCTTAAAATCACAAGTCTAAAATATTACAATTTTAAGTTGGAATCATAAAGCTAGCTGTATGATTCTTTACTACCCTCAAGTTTTCATAAACACTACAAATTAAATTACACGATAGATTATTACTGAACTTAACACCAAAATATCACCATGGTATGTTTGATTGATTTCATCTTCTCCATATTCAATTCTCAACCTTCCCATGGTTAAAAGGACATCCTCTGAGGAATGTGTTTTGTCATCTCAAGGGAGTTGAGATGACTTGAATTAAGGAAATTTTTAAGGCTTTGGAACAAGCAAAAGAGATTACTGGCTGTATTTTCAATGGAATGGTGGAGCCTGAGGGGGTGCGAGATTGTCGGAACCTACAGCAATACCACCCATTGTGCCTAGGCTATTTTACAACTCTATAAGATACAGATA